TTTTTGAAAAAAGTCTAAAAAATGCTTCCCCCCCCCCCCCCTCAAAAAAAAAAAACCCTCTCACAATAGTCACAAGAGGAAAATTCCCCCCATTTTCAAAAATAAAATTCAGGCCCTGAATAAATGCCTAAAATTCCTGATTGGAGTATTACTATAAATAATTCTACATGATAAAAATAAGGCTTTAAAAAGATCGGTATCGGTGATCGTATCGGCAGATACTGCTTTCTGTGGTCGGTCTCAAAAATCCTGATCGGAGCACCCCTAGTAACCGACGGTGATTTTTTTTTTTGATACCCGATGCTGATATCTTAGAAACCAGGGATGCCAACTGCTGATAAAAAGCTGATTGACATATCACACTACATAATTTAAAGACGCATTTAAAGCTACATGCATAACAACTGCTGAATTTAAATTTATATTTGTTTTACATAATATTTACTAAATTAGATATCATTTGAAAATACATTTTATGAAAAAACTGAAATTGAAAATAAAATAAAAAAAAACTGTAAAATAAACAGATCTATAAAATAAAATAATAAAATGTAAATTATTTAAATCAAATCTGTAAAATAAAAAAATTTGAAAATAAATCAAATGTAAATAATTAAAATATTTTTTTCTGTAAAATAAACAGATTTATAATTTAGACTGCAATTTCTTTATTTTGTAAAGAAACTTAAAAATATGAATAAAAAGGAAATAAACACTGTAATTCGCAACATTGCAATCAGTAATCAGTCATATCAATCAATCATATTTTTTCAAATAACGTTTGCACTAATTTTACATACAGTACACAGTGAATATGACAGTGGCAAACTGCACAGCCTAGTTTGAAATCAAGGTTTTAAAGTTTCGATCAGCGAGAGAGTAAATGAGAAAGTATTACAGCGTTAGCCTTTATATTACTAATAATAGAAAAGCAAATGTTACAATACTTCTGTGTTTACTAGTTTTAATAATGTATAATCTTCTGACACATGGGCAAAACAGAAAAACGTATCGGCATATAATTAAAAAAAAATAACAAACATCAACCCCTAAAAAGAAAACACATCCCTGTCTAAAAAGTCCCGCCCACAGTGACTGATTGACAGGAGTCTGCAATTGCATTTAAATGAATGCATATGTTCTGCAAGCACTATGAAATGCATATATGATCTCACCAGGTTCTCCATGTCCGTGCGGGACAGTATGTACGTCCTCATGTTGCTGTTCTGGTGCAGTAGCGTGTAGAGCAGTAGCGTCACCTGGTCTGATTTCTGCTGCTCGTACAGCGCTGTGTACAGACTGTTAAAGTTGATCTGAAACGTGTGAGGCTGAGGAGACGGGAGGGATGAGGAATCTGAAACACATAATAGAGATTCAGTGAAACTAATTCAATTCACTGAACTAAAAACACAAACAAACTGGGATGAGAGCCAGTCTGGTTTACCTTGGGTGTTTTTGAAGCAGGTAACAGCCTGGCGGTAGGGGTTCGGACAGTCTGCTCCGTCAGTCAGATTGGCCAGAACCAGAAGCAATAGCAGACTCTGATTGGACAGTGGGAGAGGGTTCTGATCTTGCTCCGCCCCCGGCCTGCTGCTGACTCCGCCTAATGTGAACACGCTCCACAATCCACCTGAATAACACAGAAATCAATTACATCTGTTGGAAAATGATCACCATGGAGTGACTTTAATTAATGGTGACAAAAGAAAAGGTCACATCAAGCATTTTTGTCTCACATTATCACTGACATTAATTCCTGTACTATTTGAGATACAAACATGAACGACATCTCAAAAGACTTGATGTTGTTCATTTTTCTGAGTGATCAGACTTATGATTTTTGATCAAATGGGAAGAAAAATCCTACAGGAACTTATTCAACAATCTTAAAAGTTGTGAAATGCCATTCATCTTAACGTATTACAGGTACAACAGCAAAGAACAGTTTAAAACACAGTGAGGTAGTATTATTTATATACTATTGTAGTATTTATTAATATTTTGAATTAGCTTTTTTTATATTTTCAGTTTTCATTTGGATTTTTGTTTTAGTAATTTTATGTGCTTTTGTCATTTTTATTATTTATACTTTTAAATATTTAATAAATAAAAAAATTATATACACATATATATATATATTTTTTTTTTTTAATAAATAAAAATAAATTAGTTTTTTTGGTGCAGAAACCTTTAAGCGTATGGAAAAAAGCTAAAAGTAGTACAGTATATGGTGCTTTTTCAATGGCGACACACTTAAAAGATGTCGCTTCAGGCCAGAAGCAGAATAACGGAGGCAGAAGATCATTCATGAACAGTGTAGTGGACAACCGGACATGCTAATGGCTCAAAAAAAGGACAGTTTCTTCTGCCTCAAGAGCTCCAGATGTAATCTATAGAGTCTAGCGCTCTTTACAACATCACAGTCACTCCTTTCGTTCTGTTTAAATACATAAATGATTATATGAACATAAGTATGTCTTACAGCATTACTTACAAGCATCCGCTTTGATGGTTGAAGATTAAAAACAAAAACTGCAGGGCCATAATGACGGAAAATGATTAAGCAAATAAGAGCAAGAGATATGTATGGGAAACCTCTACATGTGCTTTTTTGTGATGTTATTTTTGTATTTATTTAATTTGCAATTTATTTTTTTTATATATATATATATATAATTCAGAATTACAACAAAAATTCTAAATTCTGTGAAAACGTCACTGCTGACTGCTCGTGACTTTTTATCTCATAATTTAAACTTTTTCTGTCCAACAATGTACAAACAGCAGGTTGCTGATGAATAGTAACTGATTTTTAACAGATTCTGAGCTACTAATCATTCAGTCATCGTATCGGGTGGGTCGGAAAGAGAGCGAGAGAGAGATGAGATGGAAATGAGATGCCTGTCTCCATGTCTAATCACTTGTGGCTGGACATCACGGCCCCACAGCAGACTGAAGCAGAGCCAGGATGTTAACAAACATCCACTGCAAATAAAAACAACAACACTGGCAGAAAAACTCTCCTCCACCCTCCCAGACGCACGTCGCGGTCGGCTCTGAGAACACTGATAACAGTAAAGGTCATTAGACTGATATTATTGGCTGCATCTATCCGTTAGGTTCCTCATGACATCAAGTTCCAAATGTCTGGACGCCACGGCGACGTCAGTCGACCAATGAGAGCAAGCGCAGACGCCAGTGCAGACTGTAATCTACTCATCAGTAGGGTTGGGTATCGTTAGAAATTTTCCGGTTCCATTTAAATTAACTGAGAGCAAGCGCAGACGCCAGTGCAGACTGTAATCTACTCATCAGTAGGGTTGGGTATCGTTAGAAATTTTCCGGTTCCGATTCCGGTTCCATTTAAATTAACAAATTTTTTTTTTTTTTACTATTTTACCTTAACTGAATGTAGTGTTGCTGGAAGGTAGCAAGTAATGTTGAGTAATGCATGTGCTTCAAATTTGATGTTTTTTACACTATCAATAACATTTTGCTTTTCAAGCAGGAATAAGCTGGTTGGCAAAATAGTCCCTTGAGGGCTAAGACACTTGTTCAGTTCCCTAAATTAATGAAATATTATACATATAACCATGTATACACACACTGCATAAAGCCCCTATTTTACAAATAATAATGCAGTCAGGAGATGGTGTAAACATTTAAAATGCATGAAAATATTTTCTATCACTCTTGAAATGACCTGTATACTAAATAATCTAACCCTCATACTTACATAACAATAGCAGTCTATTTATTTAGTGGTCCAAGTTGAAGTCAGTATGTATATTAATAACAATATGGGACAAAAATAATGTAATTTAGTGGCGGCAGGAGCTGCGTGCTGCCGGTACATGTACAGTCAGACAAAACAACGTGCACATTTATCAAAGATGCGAGTGCGCGTACAGTCGTGGAAAACGTCATTTAAAGACGCGGCGCGTCTGTGGAGTGCGCGTCATGGGAAACAATGTGCTTAATAATTAAAGAGGCAGGGTGGCGTTTCTGTTATTTGGTTTGTGACATCCTTTACGGGACACACCGGCGTAAGGCTGCTCACAGCGCTTGGTCACGTGTCGCACCAGAACCGTTTTCGGAACCGAAACTTAGAAATTGCTCACGATTCTGGTTCTTTTCAAAAAACAGACCCGGTTCTGAATAAGCGGTGGTTATCAGTTCCCAACCCTACTCATCAGAGCCAATCAGAAGCCTGTAATCGCTCTCAGACACACTGACACACTTTTATGACGGGAAAAATGATGGATGAAGAAAAAACCCCTTTGATTAGCACTCAATCTCTCTTGTTCTTTCATAAACACACTCGTATGTCTCTTGGTTCTCTGTTTGTCTTGTGTGTGGTCCGTTTCTCTCAGCACAACACAGATATAATATTCCAAGAGTGAGAAATAAGCTCATATTTTATACCTTTTGTAGCATTTACTGTTTTCCCTGAAGCCTACTTATGTTAGTCATAATATAATATAAACAGTACAATCTTAATAGGTTTCTTGAATCAAAAACAAACAGGATTTAGTTTTATGACCATTTCCACGCCCCTCTCTGATTATTTATATATAAAACAAGTAAATATTAGCGTCCATGAAACAACATGCTAACCAGTCTTAAGCTAACCAGCTTAAGACAAAAAGCTTTAGTAAGTCATAATTATAGCATAAAATGTAAAATTATGAGAATAAAAGGTCATGTAAGTCAGTCTCAGCAGTGACTTTTTCTCTCATAATTTTGACATTTTGTGTTCAAATTGTTTCATGGACGCTAATATTTACTTGTTTTATATATAAATAATCAGAGAGGGGCGTGGAAATGGTCATAAAACTAAATCCTGTTTGTTTTTGATTCAAGAAACCTATTAAGATTGTACTGTTTATATTATATTATGACTAACATAAGTAGGCTTCAGGGAAAACAGTAAATGCTACAAAAGGTATAAAATATGAGCTTATTTCTCACTCTTGGAATATTATATCTGTGTTGTGCTGAGAGAAACGGACCAACGGTCTTGTAATATATTATAGTCAGACACACACATATAAACACACAGTATATATATATATATATATTATAATTTATTTAAAATATAAACAGATTTGAGAATTGCATCTATTTTATATACTCAGAATATTAAAAATACAAAATGACAGGGGAAAATCATATGCATTATCCATTTTAAGATTTCAAAAAAGACAAATACTAATAATATAATAATAAATATTAATAAATGATTCATATTAAATATAAAATAGAAATGAAATGTAAATAAAATAAATGTTAAAAAATAAAAAGAGAATATAAATTATGTACAGTATCTTCAATAAATGCCCTGAATGGATTAGAAATCATTGAGTTTTGAATGTTACAGTATTTCTACTAAAAACACAATCTGCACCACAATATAGAAGCATTACGTGTCTGTTGTGCACAGAAGTGTGTGCGATGGTCTTAACTCTCTTATGTTTCTGCACTGCAGATGCTCTGGGGTCTCAGTGTGTGTGTGTGTGTGTCCTAGGGTTGTTATTGTGGGCTCTGTTAACAGAGCAGCAGATAAATGAAGACATCATGGCTGCCATCCAGCAGAGCTGAGAACACACACACACACACACACAGGGGTTTTCCATGCCACTAATGCTGTCAGTACATAAACAGGCGGCTGAGGGTGACAAATGCTGCTGCTAACTTACACACACACATTGTCCAAGTCCTCCTGTAAAAGTCCCTGTGGATCTCTCTCTAAGCATGTCAACTCAAAACTCAACAGTGTCTGATTTATTACTCATTACAAAGTCTGAGGCCAACATGAGTTTCAGAAAGAGAGTCTGATTTAGAGCCTGATTTTGTCTTAAAGAGACACACAGGCTACTGTAATTTCACATCTTTTGTCCATTCCTGAAGTAAAAATTACATTAAAAACTCCCACAGAGCAAATTCTTTAGCAATAGCAACAAATGTGGGGTTATTAAGTGATGGTTTACGCTTCTGAAGCAATATTTTACCAAATTCTTGGTGAATTCACCAGGCTCAGGACAATTTTTATGCTCAATACCACAGAAACACTTCCTTACCGGGTTGAATTGAACATCTGACAATCTTTGAATTGTAATTCCTGAGTAAACTACAAAAGCACTTCCTGTCTGCAGCTATAAGCCCACCATTACTTCCTGTCACCGTGGTTTCAGCAGCAGGCAATGTGGTGTTTGATCATGCATAGCTCGCCACCATGATGCTGTGATGTAGTCAGCATCACTATGGGGTTTCTAAGGTGTTCTGAGTTGTTTCTAGGGAGTTGCTATGAGGTTTCTGAGGTATTCTGAGTGGAGAGGGTTGTGATGTGATTACTAAGGTGTGGTTTCTAGGGAGTTACTAAGGTGTTCTGAGTTGTTTCTAGGAGTTTACGCTTCTGAAGCAATATTTTACCAAATTCTTGGTGAATTCACCGGGCTCAGGACAATTTTTATGCTCAATACCACAGAAACACTTCCTTACCGGGTTGAATTGAGCATCTGACAATCTTTGAATTGTAATTCCTGAGTAAACTACAAAAGCACTTCCTGTCTGCAGCTATAAGCCCACCATTACTTCCTGTCACCGTGGTTTCAGCAGCAGGCAATGTGG